CTTGAAGACAGGAAGTACTTTGTGGAGATTGGAAACTGTGCCTCAGATCATATGGCCCTGACCTGTGGAGTACCACAGGGGTCGATCCTGGGACCTCTTCTGTTCAATCTCTACATGCTGCCGTTAGGTCAGTTAATACGCAGAAACGAAGTGTCATATCATAACTATGCAGACGACACTCAGATCTATGTCTCACTGACTGCAGGAGAACATGGACCAGTGGACTCACTCCTTCACTGTATCCAACAGATCAGTGAGTGGATGCAAAACAACTTCCTAAACGCAGACAAAACTGAAATGATTGTCTTTGGTCCCCAGAAACAAAGAGAGAGCGTCATCTGTCACCTACAGTCTCTCTCCCTAAAACCTTCAAACCAGGTCAGAAATCTAGGGGTAATACTGGACTCAGACTTAAATTTTAATAGCCACATCAAATCAGTAACATCTGCAGCTTTTTACCACCTAAAAAATATTGCCAGGGTTAAAAACATAGTGTCTAAAGCAGACTTGGAAATTCTTATCCATGCATTTGTCTCCAGTAGGTTAGACTACTGCAATGGCCTGCTCACAGGTCTGTCCAAACAGGCTGTAAAACAGCTGAAGTACATTCAAAATGCAGCAGCTTGAGTCCTGACTAGAACCAGGAAGTATGATCAAAATTAGTCCGGTCCTCAGGTCTCTGCACTGGCTTCCTGTGGCTCAGAGAATAGACTTTAAAACAGCTCTGCTTGTGTACAAGTCTCTCCTTGGCCTCGCACCAAAATATATTAGTGACATGTTAGTCCCATATGAACCAGCCCGGACTCTGAGGAGCACAGGGACTGGACTCCTGTTAGTGCCCAGAGTCAGGACTAAATATGAGGAGGCTGCTTTTCAGATTCATGCTGCTAAAATCTGGAACAATCTTCCTGAAGATGTGAGACAGGCCTCCTCTCTGACAATGTTTAAAACCAGGTTAAAAACAGTTCTGTTCAGCTGTGCACACAACTTGCCTAATGAAGCCATTATGGCCAAAATTACATAAATAATCCATGACTTTTCTCTTTGGTTTTCACACCAGGTAGCCAGAGACATTTTATGTTTTTATTTTATTTATATAGTTTTTAAGTTAATATAATACAAATACAAAAATATTGATTGATTTGGCAGCTGCAATGTTGCAGGTTTCTTTTTTTAAACAATAACAGCATACAAATAAATTACAATGACACTGTACGAACAGCAAAGTGAAGTGACTTGCCTAAGGACAAAACAACGGTTAGACACATTACAGCCATAGGTGCCCTTCTGTTGCGCCTGGTGTTCCCAAAGGTCTCCCATCACAGAATGAACCAGGCCCAGCCCTGCTTAGCTTCAGGGATCTGACGGGGGCTGGATGTTGATGGTAGCCTCTTTAATATTAAACATAATATTTTGCATCTGCACTTAGATGAGATAAAGAGTTTTTTTGGTATGCATTACTTTCCTCTCCTTAGCGTTTAATCATCAACCATTTTGTTCCCAGAGCTAAAGATGACAGATTCGATGGCTTGAACAATAAAGAGTGGTTTGAAAAGACAGTATACAAAGAGTACCTTAGCAGCCTTTATTATTTGTCATCTAAAGAAAAAAACAACATCACAAGATTCTTTTTTTCATGCATACATGTGCGTGAAGAGGCTTATTGCTTTTAGGCAATACCTACAGGAATTGAGTAAAAGGACATGTGCACGGTGCCTTTTATAGTATCTCTAATTATGATGCTGAGAGTGTCCTCGAGGATGTTACTAGTCCCACTGGTTTCTCAGCAGCAGCAAAACAACATATACCATCTCTATGTGTGAATGAGAACTGGACTCGTGTGTTCAGCGTCGGGACAACACTGGAATCTCAAAAGGTTAGGTTGTCTAAAACGGATTTGCCTAAAGACAGATCTACTTAAACATTTGTGAGACAAAATAAGCAAGAGTTTTTAGTGGGTGACTGTGTGCATGTTAAAGGTTTACAAAGTCCTTCTCTCTGTTGTTGAACTGAGTGGGTTTGTGTATTAACACCACCCGCTGCCTGCTCTCACCTCTTCAAATCCTTCACTGCAAACATCAAAAAGTCCAGAGCAGTTCACTGCAGATGGAAAAAAGTGTCCAAAAGTAAAGTGCAGAGTAGTGTCCCTGAGTGAAATGAAGAAACATAACATAAGCGCAGGTAGAAGAGAAGAAACGCTGACGTCGGGGCAGAGTGACGTGCCTGAGATAACTATATGACTGAGGATTGTCAAACCAAGCCACAAATATCTTATGAATATCTCTGTGTTGCCAGGCAACCCCACCAGTCTCTGATATACTTTCCTACATTGTCTTCATTGAAATTCTTTTCTACTGTGTTGTCCAATGATGATGTCTGTTTCAAAAGATGTAAATTGACCGGTGGGTACTGGTGGCTCTACATCCACAAATAAAGCAGCCCGAGTGAACCACAGTGGCCCAATTAAAGTGGCCCAGACCAACAAGAGAGAACAGATGATCTGATATCACATTAACAGGATCCATGTGTCATTGGGTTAGGGTATGAGTAGGGTTATGGCTAAGACTAGGGCTAGGGTTCACCATGGCTAGGGTTTAGATTAGGGTTAAGAAAAGGATAAAGGGTGTTGAAGCCAAGCCGTCAAGCCAAGGATCAACTCGTCACAGTGATCCTGAACGGGTAATTATTTGGTGATATCAGTGATAGACTTTGTGACAATACAGTATATTGGTCATGGGGCAAATAGTAGGAGGATTGTGAGTACTATGGTTTCAAACACATTTTAGATCCCAAAAGATTACTGTTACATTTTTTTTTTTTTTACCTAATAATAAATCACCCAACGTCTCTGAAAACTAAAATCTACTATAATAATTCTGCACCAAGACACACATACACTCAGCAAGAGTTCCAGATCCATGTCAAATGCGTTTGCCCCGGATCACTGTTATATAGCCAACCTATCAAGGGGATTGGGCCATTGATCCTGGACTCTTAAATACTTGTTGAAATCAGATTGAACACACACATACACTTCATGCACCACATACTGACACACATGAAAAATGTGTACAGTGCAACACCCATGCCTGCCTGTGCTGCTTTTCCTTCTCTGTATCCTCTCCTTTCTTCCTTCGTTTTCCTCAATAAAGCCCACCACACACAAAACACCCACACAACTTGCATTTACTCTAATACACACTCATGAATAGGAGGCGCACACTCGTAGGCCCAGGTGCAACGCTCCGCAGGCACCGTGCCAGTCATTCAGGCCGCCCGCCAGCACTCCAAACAGGGGTCGCTTATGTTGTAAATGTCAGATGTCCTGCTGTTTGAGCCAGCATGTATTGCACCATTTAACACTCATCTGCACACACGCTTAGCCGCACTTAAACCCACAGCGGTCACCATCACCAGGGTGAAGGAAGTCAGCGTACAGGCCCAGAGCCAAGTTGTCCTCAATCTTCACACATTATGGAGGAAGTGAGACATGACGCCTGCTAATGCCCACAGCGGAACATGACATAAGGTTTAGTGCCATAAAGATGAAGTGCAACAATTTTCACATTGGAATAACGAAATATTACTACTTGCAATTATGTAGATTTCCATTTTCTTTGCTGCCATTTCCTTTGGGTGACTACAAGCAAATGCAGTGCTTTTGCACAGTTTGAGAATATTGGGTGGTTCTTGACCTAACGTAGTGGGGAGAAGTCAAGAGGCTCGTCACTGTGGGACTGACTGGGAGTAATATGTAAGAATTGTCCATCACAAAGTTTGAATTGATCCAGTCGGTGCCTGTGTGTGTGTTGAGGTTCGGAAAAATAAATAAGAAAATGTTTAAATAAATAAAATATTTCTTGACGTCTCTGATCATTAGAAATTACTGAAAACTTACATGGCTCCGGACAAAGCACAAGCTTATATATACATAAATAATAAATATAAACATAACACAGGAAGAGCAGTTGGCAGCAGCAGTCTGGCGCCTAGTCTTGGTTACTATATGATTAAATGCATGGTCTTACATAAGACTTATCTGTGATCCACCTGAAACTAAACAGTGTCTGGTTCAGCGGCACAGCAACAGCCTGGACACTGAGAAACTAAGCAACACCTTCCGTCACCTAACTCCTAACAATGATGGATGAAAGTAATTAATGTTGGCTTCATTTATGCTAATCTCTAATCTGGCGCTCTCATTATTAATACAAAATTGTAGAATGAATTGCTAGTTACTTGAAAAACAGTATTGCTGAAACAGGCAAGTTATATTGATTGCTTTATTTCATCCACACATGACCATGTCATTTCTCCAAGGCATCAAGGTCAACATTAGAATAAATCATAATCATGTATATGTATTTGTGCCTGAAGACATTTGCAGTTGTCATCGACTCACTTACCAAAAGATGATTTGATAATACACTTGAAATAACCTAGATAGATAGATACTTTATTGATCACCCGAAGGAGAAATTCAGGTGTCCAGTAGAAGCAGAAACGCATGCATTTATACAAACAAAACCAATAAATGGATCATTCTAAAAATAGCTAATAATAGTATGAAAATGCCACAGCACTAATTGTATATTGCGCTGTACAAAAAGAAAACATAAATTAACTACAACATCTTCCAGAAAAAGAGTGAATAGACATTCAGCATGAGGATCCAGATCTGCCAGTAGAGCCCTGACAATTCTCTCTGCGTTCCCACGGTAACCAGTAAAAAGTATTTTTAAAATATGACATTTGTGCAGCCTGTAATTTCACTGCATTTACAGTGAAATATATTCGAGCATCGTGCAGCGATACAATAGAAATCAAAGCTATAGGGGAGAACATGGTATTGAAGCCTTCATGGGATCTGGTCACTGCTGTTTCATGTTATGCCAGATTAAGGACTTTTGTCAATTCATTTTTTACTGATTATTTCCTTCGCTGTTTAATTGCTATGACAATAGTCCTAATTTTCCCACCATTTATTAGAATGAATGTACCTGTGCAGAAAAGCCCAGGTGCTGACAGCCGTTGCAGGGAGTCAGAGCTTCCCAGAATCCTGTTGGTCCACAGATTCTGTCCACGTCATCCTCCTCCAGAGCTGGAGCCAGAGGTGGAGTTGGTCGCTAGAAACATTTAAAAACATGCATTAAAAATGATTCATTCAGATGATTACTTCCTGCTCAATGTTGGCCCACTCAGGTGTGCAATAACCCCAATTCACAGAAATCACAGACTTAGTTTTAAAATTAAATTATAACTCAACTTTTACAGTATAATTCATTCTATCAAATGTTAAACCTTTTTTCTAATAATAAACAACAGCGCAGGTCAAATCAAATACTTGCAATAGTTCTGAAAGAGTTAACCTGGAAAGAAAAAGACAGAGAGGTGTGGAGAGACAATAATAACTTTAATGAACACAGTGTCCTTTCCCCGGGCATCGAGGATCCCAGGGGGCAGGTGTGTGCTGCAGTCCTCAGGCAGCCGAGTCAGAGGGCACCTATGGACCAGCGCATATCTGCACCAATTATTCAGCACAGGACACGAGCCAGTTGTAGGAGATATATAACATTACAGGGGAGCGGAGGGGCAGAAAAAGAAAAACAATATTTAAGTGGAAGGCAGCAGGTGGCGAAATCAGAGCAGCTTCATAACAAGGTAACTGCAGCTTCCTTGAGGAGGAAATTACGACAAATAATTTGTACTGATCTGGAATATGAATGTGTTTTCTACAACAGGGCAAATGGGGAGAGCAGAGCGTCATACTGTAAATGGCAGTGACAGTCAAAAGGTCACCGCCGTCCAGACACAAGTGACTAGAAACACAGTATATACGATTTCATAAGCCCCAGTAACTCATATCTAACAGAAAGGACAGCATCAATTATTTATTTCAGGGAAATGCATCACTGATCAATATTACATTAGTTGCTCATGAAAAACCCTCGAAGGGGTGCATCACTATTTAAAACAAATTCAGCAAGAAGAATTATTCAAGCAGAAATTTGTCAGAAGTTGGAAAACTTTTGAAAGTAGAAAAAACAGCAACTTCAGCATTCGACACCAAACACAACATTTTCATCATTTGTTGGAGAGTCTGTATCATAGTTTAGTTTAATAACCTGTAAAACTAATGCTACTATTTGTTCTTTGTTTGTATGGTAGTCTAATATTGTTACCATTTTTCACAGCTCATGTTTTATTCTTATCTTTCCAGTCAAAGTAAATAAAGAATAACATATTTATCATGCATATCAACAGTATCAGTTCTCTTAAATTTGTCTTGATTTTTGTCTATAATAATGGGTTGTTTAAGTACGAAGAGGACACACATTTGATTAATAGTGTGTTAGTGCGTGTTTACATCACCATTAAAATTGTATAACCTGCATTTTTTTGCTTTTACACCATTATTTTTTTTAATCATAATGTTTTATCTATTCTATTTTTCATACATATAAAGCTGACAAACCTGTATTGAAATGTGTAACTTTTACGTCTGTGAACAACTTTGGAAACTTTAAAGAAAAACAAAAAATACCCTTATGCATGGAAAATAAAGACAGGGTGAAATCCGAGGCACTCTGATCTTTTATCAGAGTGCCTCGGATTTCACCCTGTCTTTATTTTCCATGCATAAGGGTATTTTTTGTTTTTCTTTATCGTTTCTCTTCCTGAAGAGTACCTGATCTCAAATATTTTTTGGACCCTGCAGCACTCATTCCTCCTGTTCTGAAACTTTGGAAACTTGTTTTATAAAATTTTCTCTATAAATAAAGTGGATAGGATTGGATTAAATCATGTTGTGAACAGTCGTCTTTGACAGCAGTTGGTTAAGTTTAACATAACAACATTAAAACCTATATATAAACCTGCGGCTTTCATGTGGACAACATGTACTGGTTTTTTGCTGGTGCTGGTTTGTATACAGGTATGCTTAATAGACCAAGTAATTAAAACTTCAAGAATTATTGTTTTTTTAATAGTAAGAATCAAACTAAATAAAAAAGGCATATTTTGTGATAACTGTGAACATACTTTCCTATTAACGTGTCTCCTGACCAGTCCCTCAGTAGCTAATCTAAGACGGCTGGTGTGCGAGCTGCCATGATCTTGTGCATGTTTTATTCATGTGCTGTGCTCTGAATCACATGTTAATAGCACTAGTCACATATAACCAAGGGGCTTATAAACACACACTGGAGGTGTCAGTAATGGCCCACAAATTAGTGCTTCATGCGCAGAGAGCGAAGGAAACAAGATGGATAGACATAATTAAGGACAAAGTGAAGAGTGGGCTGCATATCGTGTGTGGGTTTAATGTATCCAGATACTGTATTGCTTTCATAATGCATTTCTTACATATTATCTCTATAAAAGGACTTTATAGGATATCAATCAATGTCACAGTCTTTACAACATATTGCCAAGACCAGTGTGAATGTGTTTGCGAAAGGCCTAGAGAAATGGCTGAAGAAATAGGAAGAGACAGCACGTAATAAGTCAGGGAGATGCACACATGTGGACCATTGTGTGTGTGTGTATGTGTGTAGTGTGTGTACTGTATGTGTGTGCATGTGCTGGCTCAGGTGGAGTCGGTTTGATGGATGCCTTGGTGTCCTCCAGCGCGTTTGACTTTGACAGAAGAATTGAAAAAGCTCAGAACCCAGAGGTGGTCATGCTGAGCTGCACGGGCTTTTGAAATGAACTACAGCAGGAACTACTGCAATTGGGAAAATCAACCAACCAAACAACACACCAATACAGACATGACCGCTTCTGTCTGAGTTTGATAACACTCAAAACAAGGTAAGCCATGTGTTTGTTGTGTAAACAGGAGCATGAGAGGAAAAAGCACTGCAGTGTGATTGGAGAGGGTGATTCTTGTTTATGCACGGATTCTGTCAGACACTGCCCTCTGCTGTTTACTGAGTCAAATCACAAGTTCATGCACATAATTTCTATCACTTACCAAAAGTATAAGTAGAAACAAAACAGTTTGTGACAAATTACTGGGGTTCAACCTTCCCCCAAGTAAATCTGAACAATTTTGATTATGATTCAAGGGAGCCATGCCAGCCCACCTTGGAGGTGCCGGAAGTTAAATACCTATGCATTATGCTCAAAGGGGTTTTGTGGGAAAGAATTGCGTGTGCGTGTGTGCATGAAGTGGGTCTTCCAAATTCCTAAATGAATGTAAACTCTACCTCTGGGACTAGATTGGACTGTGACGTGGACTGGACCTCGCATCTCCACCAAGAAGATAAGATAAGATGTGCTTTATGGACATACCTGGTTCATACGGGTCAGGGTGCCGTTGGGTCGGTCCAGGCGCTCCTCATCTGAGAACTTCCCACTGCCAAAACTGTCCATGGAGTGAGAGGAGACCGTTTGGCATAGCTCCTCAAACGAGTAGTCTCTGCATTTCTTAATGTCATGAAGCAGTTTGGACAGCTCGCTCGTCACAGCTTCATCTGATGACAGATAAGAGAGAGTAATAGAATAACACAAGTGAGAAGAAAGGCTGTGATAGAATTCTTCTCTCTGAAGGTAGAGCTATGAAAAGGTGATAATCGACTTCCTCCAAGGGTATAGGAGGTGCTACAAGCATCTCAAATCCAAATTTGTAAAATTGGAGAAATTCATGTTGTTCAATAATAATAAAATGAGTTTGAGTATCTAATGAGGTGGGAGCTCATGGCGCTGTTGGAGCCCGTTCTGGTCAAACTGTTGTCTGCGTGGCTCTACTGATGTAAGTGCAGACACAAGTACACTGAAGTAGCACATTTTAATTAATACAGGGTGAGAATAATAACCAGACATCTTACTCTGGACTGTCTCAGTTTTTATCTATGCGTCCCATGTCCCAGTAGATCTAGGAGTATTTTTTTTTCCCTTTGACCTTAATTTAAATCAGGATAGTCCAAAGTCGATATGAGAATCTGAGATTGCCCCCAAACCTTAGTTCACCAGTATTTTATGATAGAGAAAACTTCCAACAATGAGAACCTGCTCAGACCCGAGGGCTCTAACCACTCAGCCATTTGCCTCAATAATCCCTACAATTCACCAATTTTCAGAAAAAAAAATGTTTTCATTGTGACTTTGCTTCAAAATTACCTAAAAGATACAGAGAACTCAGTGTATATAAACAAATGGGCTATAATTGCATACGTGGACAAGTTATTCCTTGCTTTTTCTCAACTAGATTTCACAGACTAAAAGAAAATCAATTACTTTAGTTCATTAATTTGCATTTAATAGGGCTAATAAGTTCCTCTCACTTCTGCAGGTAATCAGGGTAATTGTGTGCATGTGTGAAACAGCAGTGCGCAGAGCCGAGCAAAATGCAATGCCACTTTTGTATGACAGGGGGCACCACAGGCCAAAGTATAGAGTGTATAGCCAACGTTCAAAATAACACCAGAAGGGCTTCCCTCATGCCCCTGAATATAAATGCTGAATGTGATTTGAACTCACTCTTGTGTCGGAGCGAAGGTGAGGCCGTGGGGGACGGGATGGAGTTGCGAGGTGCAGGAATGGGGCACTTGCGAACCGGTTCCTCCAATATGATTCGTCTATCCATCTCCTCCTCCATCATGTAATCTGTGGAGCAGTGCAGTGTTTTAACAAGACCTGAATAACAAGGGATAAATATTGGAGCCAGTGCAGGACAATGTGTTCAGAAGCACTCACTGAATCAATATAAAAGCACAGCCCAGAGCAAAGCAAATAGCTTTTACTGCATTATATTCACACCTTTCCCAACGCTCAATATTATTCTTTGCTCATAAAACACTTAACAAGCATTGAGGGTAAAACGAGGGTCAAAGAGCAAGAAAGTAACAAGTGGATTTGAGGGCGGAAGAATATAGAACAGTGTATCGAAAACTTTACTTTTTTGCTTTATTCTGCACATTAACGTGGACTACCTTCTCACTGTGTCCCTCAGCGATACAAAATTAGGACATAAAATAATTTCTGTAATTTACATAAATTATATTTTGAGCATTATATTGGTAGTCAATCCATCATCTGCATAATTTACCGGTGACAATCTTGTAGGCATATGCTGTGATGGGGGAACAGAGCTAAATGAGGAATACATAAATGACCATTATCCTCACAGCTGCGATCAGTGTAAAATATAACTACATAAACTACAGATTTATAATCCTATTATAACACTCTCTGGCAGAATTTTTTTTTTCATAGACTATGAATTATAAGACTTGGTGGTGGAAGGATGGAGCATTTTTTGTTTTACTCTTTTTGAATCATAATTCCAACTGAAACTCAAAATGACAGTCACAGTCACAAACAGGTTTGAAAGGCTTATTTAATCTCTTCAAATTTATATTCTCTGAAAAACTGTCTGCCGGGGTTTGTAAAATTATGACTCTTCTTTTCCCGTTCCTCCTTTTCTAAGACCGGAGTCTTTACAGTTATTTAAGAAAAGAGCTTTGGTAATTTATGCCGCTTATAATGTAATTAACCCAGCAGTGTAATACTTTGGCCCTAAAAACTCCACAGCTCCAAAACCAGTTGATGCTGGTGACTACAGAGAAGACCAGTAATGAATGTGCACAGTGCAAATCAAATGAGAATGAATTCATAATGAACATAGTGGCAGCGCAGACCCTCTGCTGCACCACTGAGTAAATGACAGGTCCGTTGCTCTTTGTGTCCTTTCCCATTTCCCCAAACGGAAATGGCACGCAGCTGATCTCACCATCACAGCTGTGCCCTACTCTCTAATTCTTTCTCATACACACAGTGTAAATATGCCCCCCGTCACATCAAATCCATTCAAACTGTAGTATTTTTCAGATAAAATACCAAAACGCAGATGACAGTGTTGGCTTCAAATTATATTATTAATAATATTAATAATGCATAGTACTTAAACCCCTTTTTAAGACACCCAAAGACACTTCACATAGTATTACTGTATTTGTTCACTCCATACACAGTGGTAGTGAACTACTACAGTAGCCAGCCACAGCTGCACTGGCGAAGACTGACGGAAGCAGGGCTACTAATCTGTGCCATGGACCTCTCCAAACACCACAAATCATTCACAACAGACTCAACAGTATTAGGCAATGTGGGTGAAGTGCCTCACAACACAATCGTTTGGAACTTTACAGCTGCAGCCTGGTGTTCCCAAAGATCTCTCATCAGGGTACTAACCAGGCCCTGCTCTGCTTAGCTTCTGTGATGTGCAGGATCAGGCTTTCACAAGCAGGTGGTACCACACCTAAAATAATATTTATCATGTACAGATGCAATACCATATGATTTGAAACGGTTTAAAAACGACGAAATTGGTTTACGTACAGGGAAATAATGTTTTACTGTGAACAATTGATAATTCAATATAAAGCTTGTAATTTCTCTTTGGGAGGCAAGGCAAGGCAAGTTTATTTGTACAGCACAATTCATACACAAGGCAACTCAAAGTGCCGAACAAAATAAGAAAGCATTAAAATCATAAATAATTCACAGTACATTAAAAAGAAAGATACAAATATAAAATATAAAATCCCTCAGTTGTATGCACAGCTAAACAGAACTGTTTTCAAACTTGTCTTAAACATTGTCAGAGAGGAGGCCTGTCTCACATCTTCAGGAAGATTGTTCCAGATTTTAGAAGCATAAATCTGAAAAGCAGCCTCCCCATGTTCAGTTCTGACTCTGGGCACTAACAGGAGTCCAGTCCCTGTGCTCCTCAGAGTCCGGGCTGGTTCATATGGGACTAACATGTCACTAATATAGTTTGGTGCGAGCCCAAGAAGAGACTTGTACACAAGCAGAGCTGTTTTAAAGTCTATTCTCTGAGCCACAGGAAGCCAATGCAGAGACCTGAGAACTGGACTAATGTGGTCGTACTTCCTGGTTCTAGTCAGGACTCGGGCTGCTGCATTTTGAATGTACTGCAGCTGTTTTACAGCCTGTTTGGACAGACCTGTGAGCAGGCCATTGCAGTAGTCTAACCTACTGGAGACAAATGCATGGATAAGAATCTCCAAGTCTGCTTTAGACACTATGCTTTTGATCCTGGCGATGTTTTTTAGGTGGTATAAAGCTGCGGATGTTAAATTTTAATAGCCACATTAAATCAGTAAGTCTGAGTCCAGTATTACCCCTAGATTTCTGACCTTGTTTGAAGGTTTTAGGGAGAGAGACTGTAGTTGATAGATGACGCTCTCTCTTTGTTTCTGGGGACCAAAGACAATAATTTCAGTTTTGTCTGCGTTTAGCTGAAGGGAGTTGTTTTGCATCCACTCACTGATCTGTTGGATACAGTGAAGGAGTGAGTCCACTGGTCCATGTTCTCCTGCAGTCAGTGAGACATAGATCTGAGTGTCGTCTGCATAGTTATGACTGACCTAACGGCAGCATGTAGAGATTGAACAGAAGAGGTCCCAGGATCGACCCCTGTGGTACTCCACAAGTCAGGGCCATATGATCTGAGACACAGTTTCCAATCTCCACAAAGTACTTCCTGTCCTCAAGGTAAGACCTAAACCAACTTAGGGCGGTGCTAGCGACACCAACCCAGTCCTCTAGTCTCTGTAAGAGGATCTCATGGTCAACAGTGTCAAAAGCTGCACTTAGATCTAACAAGATTAAGATTGAGACTTTGCCTGCATCAGTGTTCAGCCGGATATCGTTTGTAACCTTGACGAGGGCAGTCTCAGTGCTGTGGTGGGGTCTAAAGCCGGACTGAAACATATCAAATGAGTTGTTGACTATAAGAAATCTAGTAAGCTGTAGGTAGACAACTTTTTCAAGGACTTTCCCCATAAATGGTAGATTTGAGATGGGACGATAGTTGTTAAGTACGGTGGCCTCCAGACTGCTCTTTTTTAGTAGGGGCCTGATGACTGCAGTTTTCAGGGCCTTTGGGAATATTCCAGAATGAAGGGACATGTTTACTCTTTAAAGCCGAACTGCTTTAAAGAGTCGACCATCATTCCAGTTCCTAAGAAAACTCCTGTGACATGCCTGAACGACTATCGTCCTGTGGCCTCACGTCTGTTCTTATGAAAACTTTTGAGCGGCTTGTGCTGGACTTCATTAAGAGCCAGATCCCTGTGAGTGTTGACCCGCTCCAGTTTGCTTACAGACAGAACAGGAGTGCGGAGGATGCCATCTCCTTTGCTCTGAACTCTGTCTACAGTCACTTGGACACTAGTAAATCTGTCGCGAGAATGCTTTTCATCGATTATAGCTCTGCTTTTAACTGCCTTGTCCCAGGTAAACTGATGGAAAAGCTCATGTCTCTCGGTTTAAGTGTTGCCATGTGTGAATGGATTTTTAGCTTTTTAACTGACAGATCTCAGAGAGTAAAAATCAATGACTGTTTTTCTGATGTTGTTTCTGTGAGCGCTGGTTCTCCTCAGGGAAGTATTTTGAGTCCTTTGCTTTTTACTTTGTACACTCACGATTGTGTGTCCTCCTCTGACACAAACTTGATCATCAAATATGCTGATGACATCACCATCATCGGTCTCATCAGTGACAATGATGAATCCTCTTATAGAGCAGAGATACAAAATGTGGTTCAGTGGAGTAAAACTATCAACCTCCATTTGAACGCATCGAAAACATGTGAACTGGTCTACGACTTCAGTCGCAATAGTTCATTTGCCTGTCGTAATCGACAACTCCCAGGTGCAGATCGTAGAGGAGTGCAAGTTTCTGGGTTTAACTCTGTCTAACAACCTGAAATGGGTTAAAAACACTGACCGAGTCGTTAAGAAAGCTCGTCAGCGTCTCTACTTTCTGCATAAACTTAGAGAATGTACCACTAACTCTAAGTCTAGAGTCCACCCGTCCCTCCTCTAACCCCATAAGTATTCCACCCCCCCCCTCCTGCTCATTTAGCCCACCTCCCCCCTAACTCAGCACCAAGAAACCCTCCACCTCCACTCCCCCCTCGTCCACCACCCAACTCAGCCTGCCCCTCCCCTAACCCATCACCAAAAACCCATCCACCTTCAACCCCTCCCCGTCCAACTCCCAAGAACCACCCGCCTCTCCATCCTCTTCCCCCGCCTTCCCCTTCCCCTCTTTTCTCTAAACACTAGGATGCACAGGGTCTCTGCTTCGCAGCCACTGGCAGTCTAGTTAGAGGAGAGACCCGGCTGGGGCCCTGTCATGAAGCCACCTGTGCCATTCCCTTAGTGATAACACAAAGAATACATAACAGAAAAACATCTGAAGTTAATCAGTCTAATCAGGAAAATCTAATTCTTGTTCCGTGTAAGAATCAGCCGACCACAACCGCTGATCCTGAAACTTTTAAACTTGCTATGCTAAATGTCAGATCTCTTTGTAACAAGTCTTTTTTAATCAATAATTTTATTTGTTCTTATAATCTTGATCTTATGTTCATGGCTGAAACATGGCTAGACCAAAATACAGAAAATGCAGTTTTAATAGAAGCATCACCACCAAATTTCAAATTTGAATCTGAAATACGGGAAAACAAAAAAGGAGGAGGCTTAGCTGCCATTTTCAAAGACCACTTTGTCTCCCATAGAATGTCTCTTGGGACGTTTCCGTCTTTTGAATATGTGTCTTTTAAAATACAACAA